CCCACTGCACCCACGAGACCATGTTAGGTAGTTAATATTCTTAAACCACCTCCATTACACGGTAGTAAAAATAACATGAACAAATTATAATATAATAGTTAGTTAAGTTACAGCCTATATATGTCCCACTCCTGGGCACATGCCTTCTGGTCATTTCTGAGAGGATTTTACGGCAAGGAATTGTTCACAGCACTGCCCCAACGCGTGTTGGCGAACTTCACATGTCTTCGAAATATTATTTTTCTTATTTCTCAGACATGCAGGTCGTAAATCAGCACGTAAAATTGCAATTAACAATTTCATTGGTGCCGGCGGGGGTCGAACCCGGTTTGCTCGCGTACTGTGAAATTAACTGTGAGCGCTAACCATCTGAGCTACCACGATTCCAAACAAATTATACTTTGTCTGAATTAAGAACTTCTGAGGCCACCACTGAGCATTCAACATCTGATAAAGCCATAAAACGGTCTGTTACTAAAAACAGATTTTATTACAAACAAACAGACGTGCGAACAAATATCTTTTGTTTACGGTTCACAGAAATTATGAACTCGTTGATTCCAAGTGAATAACATGTTGTGCATGAACTGTTACGGATGTTGTACAACAAGCAACATGTATTGTTTTATTTATAAATTTATTTTCGTACCAATTAGATATTTAAGTTGTTACATAAAGAGACTATAATTGCGTGAAAAAAATGTCCTTTGGTGTGGTATCTTGGTGAACTTCCGGTATTGATAGTGGTGGCGTGGGGGTCAAATTTGTTCGAAATATTTTTTACATGATATAAAGTTTTTAGCGATTTATATTTAGAGTAATTCGCAGGATCGCCTAATGACCTCGTTTAGAATTGATTTTGTAAAAAAAATATACTGCTTTACTCATCTGAACTCTTAAAAGATCGTTTATTAGCGTTCTGTTCACATAATTTGACGTCTATCGAATTTTCTTATGCTATCACCATCATCTGATCATCATCACCACGATTACTACACACACGATATTTACTGAACATAAATCTGGGGAGATTGCTACAAAACACCACTTGCAACCCATCAATGTTTCAGGTTCAGGTCAGGTTTTTACGTGAAAAAGCCACGGTGCAGCTTTTGGCCGGTGAGTGGCTCGGCTCGACCGGGGTAGAATCACGCTCTCACAGAATACCAGCGTAAAATAGCAGCTTAGAGCTGCTGTGTTTTGTATGAAGAATGTAGAGAACCGGAGAACCTGAAAATGAAACATTCCATCTTAGCCTTGAGGGGTGACGATGCATCTGCATTTTTGTTCTTAATCGGGGACATATGTAAATGTCTATGGAGCACAGCATAGACTTACCATCAGTCGGACTATGTAGTCGTTTGATACCCTTATTATATGAAAAAAAAAAGTTGTCCCTCCATATTGAGACAGTCAACTAATATGTCTTTACCTACATAAGGCTGCTACTCAAGTACTTTGTTTCATCACCGTTTGTTGGCTCTTCCAAATATATGCAGGGTTCCTCGCCACTTCCTGCCGGTATCGTTGAAGTTCGTTATTTTATTCATTAAGAATGGATACCATTACAGATACACGCGAATGACTCTGGGTATAGCCGTGTTCATAGCTCGAAATGATTATGAGCTTTCTTATATTATGTATACGTCCGGCCGCATAGGATAGGTCAGCTTATGATCTGAGAAATGTCAAAAAGGTAGGTTCTAACCCACCTGCATCCATCTAACTCCGATAATAACAACTTTGATGATCTGATGACTTTTCGCATATCTTACGTGGTCATCATTCCTTTTATAGTTGCACGTTGCACTAACTGGCACGTGGCTGCGACTCCAGAACCTTCCTTCAGCATTAGTTTTCGACTCTTCGAGCTACATGACCAGCCCATTGCCACATCAGTTTTGAGCTATATCGGTTTCTGTTGTTTTCCTGTGGATATCATAGTTTTATTTTATAACGTAGAGAAACTCCTAGCATAGCAATTAAAAATTATTTTATTATTATACCAGCGTTATACACTGGGGTCCATTAATCTGATTATTTATAATGCAGTTTTTTGTAAAAGTGAAGTGATAAATAAACCTACAATCCACCTGATCGAGTCCAGCTTTTTACCAACTTTATACCCTTTGCCCAAATTTTGCCGAAAATAACGTTTTAAAACTAAGTGATCGTACCGAGAAATCTTAAAAAAGTTTTAACAAGAAACATCCTATCATATTGCCTGGCTCGAGTCATATTGTGAAGTTAATTATTCTAGATTCTCATTTAAAAACTGTATGGGTTTTTACTAGCAATGCTCAATTATTTACGGTCAACGTTTTGGATCATAAGAGCACGAGAACATGTTAAAAAGTGCTGCAGAAATTGTGTAAAATGTATCAGGTATTCTCAAATACCTTATGGGTCAACTACCTGCAGTGAGCGTAATCTACTCCAATGTTACTAACAGTATTTAAGATGAATTTAATCTAATAATTTTGCTATCAAATTGCTATTTCTGACAAGGATTATTCTAGGAACCATAGTACAGGCCACCTAATTGTACATTTTACAAATTTAATTTTATTGTGTTTTGTAATTTTTTGTGTGCAATAATGTGTGTGTAATAATAAGTATAATGTAACAGGTCTAAATAAAGGAAAACTTATTCAAATGATGGTGCATGGTATACGGAAGAGTATTTGAAATGAGTATTTGAATGAATATTTATTGTAAAAACAGATATCACAATTCCCTGAATAATAAACTAGAAAAATCAAGTGTAGTGTAGTGTTAGTAGTTAGTAGTAGTGTTCGCGTAAATATAAGAAATCATTATAGAAAAATCAAAATGCTTATGGCAGCCTATGGACACTTGAACCCAACTTCATACAAGAAGGATACAAATGCATTACCATCCTTATGGATAAGATGGAATGCATCATAGTCTGTCATTATACTGGATGTCTTTGCCCTTCAGACCAAATCAAAGCAAGTACTGCTATTTGACAGCAGAAGTATGGAAGAGGGTAGTATATACCCAAACCGACTTCTAAACAGAACAAGTGGTAAAATTAAAAAATTTGTACAAGCGACTTCAATATGACCGAATCAACGTATACGAAGTCAATTAAATATGCATTATTAAAGATAACTCAAAAACTACTGGTCAGATCTTAATCAAATTTATATGGGACCACACGATAAGCACTAACATCAAAATCGGTCCACCCAGAAACAAGTTGTGAGGTATGTTGGTAGAGCCATGCTGCAGCTATATTGTGATTGCAGCACGAATGGGTCGGCTCGACTGGGGTAGGACCACGCGCTCACAAATTACCAGCGTAAAATAATACTTACTGGTTCTGTGTTTCGTATGGTGAGAATAGAGGACCGGAGACCCTTTTTACTGGGAACGAGGCATTCCATCTCAGTCCTCAGGGCTGGCAACGCATCTGCATTTTGATTTTTTATGGAAGACAAATGTAGATGTCTATGTGACATAGCATCCACTTAACATTGGGTTGACTGTGTGCTCGTTTGTCACCCTTATACACGTACTATAAAAACATACAATCCAATCGAATACCTCCTCCTTTTTGAAGTCGGTTAATAAAAGAATTATGCAATGAGTCAACACATGAAAAAAGAACATAGAAAGAAAGAAAGAACCATTTACTTGATAATCACACTTTACACACAATTTTTTGAAATTTAAATATAAATTACAATGGACAAAGAATATGCATGCGCAGGTGTAAGGCTGCTTACGCATTAAAAATTATTTAATAAGCAGAACATGCATTATGTTAATTAATATTGAAGCAAAAAAAAAACTTAAAAAAGAATTTAAAGATAAAATGTGACATCAAATAGGTCTCCAACTCAGCATAACGCTGCAGGGGCAGCGCTGGTTTTCAGTTGGAACCCTGTGACTTCACTGACGAGTCGGTGTGTGAACCTCGAATTACGCGTAACTACAACTTATAGACTAATAGTAATTAGGCAGTGGGTTAAAGAGTAGTGCTAACGAACACAGTTAACACAGACATACTGTATTAATATCGATATAAATGGTGTGTAGTACATACACTACCTATACTTACATATAACGTATTTGGTTCTATGGGGAAGACTAAGCAAAGTAGCAATAAAATTTATGATTTTAGTACATATATAATTTATATTCTGTACTCAAGGGGACATGCCACGTTACGAGACCTCCTAGATTTTTTTTTAGAAAATAAAAAGTAAGATTAAAAATAAATAAATAATAAATGATCATTCATCACATATGTAACAGAAATAAACAATAATCAATAATATTTGAACATTGTGTAAAACAGTATAAATATTATTACTATTTTGCGTTCTAAATGTAATTGTATTACGTATTTAGAACTTGTTGTGATAAGTAATAGAACTTTAGTTTGTTTTTAAAACTATTCAGTGATTTTAGGGAACGAATAGGTGGTGGTAGATCATTCCAACAGTGGGTTGCTGCAAATTTGAAACTACCTCGAAACGCAGCTGTGCGGTATCGAGTTGTTACAAGGGAATGAACAGAAGCTCTTGTATTATATTTATTTTGATCTCGGGCCAACCTCAGCTTTTGAAACAGGTATACTGGTCGCTGTTTTGTTATTGTTGAGAATAGTATAGTAGCAAGGTGTAATTTTAACACACATTTTAACATACAGTCGAATTGAACACCTCCTCCTTTTTAAAGTCGGTTAAAAAGAGTTCTTTCACTAAGTAAAGACATTTACGTATATTAGTATTTCAATATCAAAAATACGGTTAACTATGTATTTTAATTATAAGTGAATCACTCGGTGATGTCAAGGAAAAAGTTTTGTTAATTCCCAAGTGTATTTATAGTTATTACGGTACAAATATGATCACAATTCAGTTCTTATTAAAATTTCTACCTTGTTGCAATATTATGTATTCAAGTGGACGTAAAAATTTGTTATAAATATGGTAGTTATTCGTGTTTTCAGTGTTTACTTCATTGTGATGTATTACACGGTAGTATTTGCATTATTTTTATTCTTCTTAACTCTGTTCGGTTCGTCAACTTAATAAGTCGTTATTATTTCCCTTTACAACCAGAATAATACGAATTTTCATACATTTTCAACTGTTACTATAACAGGATTTGGAAACCTTACAGTCTATAGATTTAAGAATAAGTTTACGTGCGTGTGCATGTGTACTTTGGAATTTGCAAGTGTTCGTGTGTTAGATGATACAGCGGTATCTATCAGAAGTCACTAGAATTTTCATTATCACCTCGGCACGACTAGTTTCTTTAATACCGACATCGTACAACAATATAGCACTAATCAAATATTGCTTAACAAGTAATCAGAATTTGGTATCAGTTTTTGCTAAAGTTATTATTACCACAAAAACCGTCCCAATCGTTGTCTTAATCGCGTCGCCATTGCATTCCCTCTTTGAACCTAATCGCATTCATACTACAGAATTAGTTTTTTATTTTTTATGTTCCCGAAGAATCACAATGCCATCAAAAACATAACTTGTAAAGCGACAGTAGCCTAATGGCAGGGCGCGGATCGCGAACTTAAAAAGGTCGTGGGTTCGAATCCACCATTCGACTACTGGCGTGAACCACTCGTAACACAAGCAATTTAAGCTTACCACGAGTGGTTAAGGGGAATATTAGTAATGTTTATAGCATCCTTAATAATCTTTTTAAAATAAAAAAACTCGTAACACAAGCAATTTAAGCTTACCACGAGTGGTTAAGGGGAATATTAGTAATGTTTATAGCATTGTTAATATTCTTTAAAAAAAAATAACAAGTCTCGCAACTCGATTCTTCTAACGTAAAAAGTTGTGAGATCCATGTTATTATACCAAGTCAGTTAATTTATTCAGTTAATTGATAATTGATAGAATCAGGCGTTACTTTGCGGAAATCCATTATAATAAAAATATAAATTACTGCGGAACCTTCCGCTAACTAAATACAATGATGTGTCTTACCTGGATTGAAGAGCACCTCCCGCCCTCCCTCAATTGCATGCACAAACTCCGTCACCACTAGTCCCAGCACCACTACTCCAGCACCCCTACTTCAACACCACTATTCCAGGTAAGACACACCATCGACGATAATACGACAGCCTCTACTAGGTCTGCCGGTCCTCTTACGATCTTCGAAGCTTGAATAGTCAGTGAATCGTTTGATAGTGCGATAAAGAAATCATAGGGTTACTTTCTATTTTTATAGAATATTGAAAATCTCTTTTGGCGTGTAACCACAGTTATGCAACGCGATAACCGCTACTCTATCTTCTTTCTTCGACCACCCCATATTTGAAAATGAATGAAAAATAATGTCTTTTTTTATTTTCGGCAAGCGCAAACACTATAATTTTAAAATTGGTGAAGTTCATCTAGCCAGTATTCAAAGATTTTAAATAATATGGTTTTGACTGAACTTATGACCCGACTAAGTATATTATATTAAATTAGATTGCTTAGTGCGATTGCCAAGTCAATCCATATATTTAAAACATAAAATATTTTTAACATTGATATGGTCACTATAAAGGTTGTTAGGTTAGCTAATTACGTAATAACTTAAAACAGAAGGACCCTTAAGTAGGGACTGAATAAATTAACCGAAGTCGGTATTACGGTAAAAGAACTGAATTCCGAGACTTGGTTTTTTTTTACAAGTTATGTTTATGATGGCATCTCATTTCTTTTTGTAGATAGTCCTACTTTTAATGACTTCTTAAATTTACGCGAACACTACACGTTGAATAAAACTAAATTTACGGATTTTATCGCGTTTAACTCGCAATTAACTACTTTTACTTATTTTTAATTCACGACGTTTTGGGTGCTTTACATCATCCATGGTCACGGGGGTGACTGAGACGTTTGACGTCTCAATATCATAGTTAGCCCGGCTACCTTCAGTTTTTTAATATTCTTTTTTTTATTATAATTTTAATTTAAAAAAAATAATATTAAAAAACTGATGGTAGCCGGGCTAACTATGACATTAGGACGTTTTTTCCTTTCCGGTACCTTTTACTTCTTGAATATCAACAACGTACCTATTTACACCTATTATACATATACAAATACACTGATTCGTTCACTGCAAATGTAATTTTGTAATTCTATATATTCATATAGGATTACAAAGTTATTTATGCAGTTGGTGTATCTAGAAAACTGGACCGGAATTAAAAAATATTTTAGTTTTTCCTTGATTTATACACTAAACACTAATTGTATTCTAAATTTAAAGCTTCTATGTATGCTATAAGTGCCTTAGAGTTTTGATGATCGGTCAGTCAGTCAGTGAGTGACAAAATTAAGAAACTTTGACTAGTTATAATTCTTAAACTACTGGTTCAAATTGAATGAAATTTAAAATATGCCATGTTTATACAATGCCTACTCGGTTACTGAATTCAGGTTTCTAGTTGTATCCACAACGAAGTTATAAGGGGCTCGAAAATGGCCTGAATTGCTTCGAGAAAAGTATGGTACGGCCGTGCCTCTATTTTGCTCGACTTGGCGCGGGCACTGCGTGCCCCCAGATTTGTATAAAGCGTTAGTTGTTCCAGATGTTAAAAACTAGCTATGAGCAGCATAATAAAATAAAATGATTTGTCTTACTTAGTTGGAAGAGAACCTCCGCGCTCCCTAAATTGCATCCACTATCCCAGTCCCCACCAATCCTAGCACCACTACATTAGGATAGATACGACACAAGTTTTGCCTTTAAACTAGGCATCATCAGGTGAAATAGACTCAGCGGTGGCTTAGTAAAGCAAAAGGGAAAAATGGATTACTTCAATAGTTATCGATTCTTTTAGGAAAAATTGAAACTATTAATATAATACAAAACCCATCTACGAGATACCGACTTCACCAAGGAGAATCGCCGTAAGTGTACAAATTAACCAAACTAAGTCTTTGACTTTTTTGTATCGTTTCAGACAGGCAAAATAGCTACAGCTTACTCCACTGAATGCACGGAATATTTTACTCTCTTCAAAGAAAGGTCTTGTGATGACGCAAATTTAACAGAAATAAAACCAATTCAAATGTGAGTAGATTTGCTAATAACCTCATGGCGGATGTACACGCTCGTCGAGACACCACGAGACAGGCCGAGAACGAGTGTGCATGGTGCCCTCTCTCGTCGCGTCGGGTCGCGTTTCGTGGACCTCGTGCGCTCTCGGAAGCTTGTCGGTTTTTTTGCGCTCGAGTCAAAGGATCTCGTGAGTCACGCAATGAAAATGAGAGCGTTCTACATAATATTCACCGTACATAGTTCATTTACGATAAATAGAAACCATCCACCGTCTTCTTCTTCGCCGTGGCTTATTAATTTTATTTTTAAGGTAAATGTGTAAAAAGTTATAATAACTAATAGCAGAAAGGCAAAACGCAGCAACAGTTTCATCTACGTCCATCTCAGCGGGCATACGGAATTCAAATGATACAAAGAGTATGTACATGGTGTGTTTTCGTGTCAACACGACGAGAGGCACGCGAGGCGGAAAGACGAGTGTTTACAGCCGGCATTAAGAGTAACGTCGAAACACTTGCGATCATCATCATAATTGTCATTATTATCGTAACAATCTAGCATTAGTCCTCTCACTTCATTAATACATCATTTTAATAGAATATGGGTGAAAAACGAGCACTCAGTCCACCTGACGGTAAGTGGATGCTGTGGTCCATAGAAATCTACATTCTACATACATCCTCGATTAAAGATCAAAATTCAGATGCGTTGTCACTCCTAAGGACTAAGATGGAATGCCTCGTTTTCAGTAAAAAGGGTCTCCGGTTCTCTACACTCACTATACGAAACACAACTTATGTTATTTTATGCTTTTTTCTGTGACAGCGTGGTCACACCCCGGTCGAGCCGACCCATTCATGCTTCAACCATAATATAGCTACAGTGTGGCTCTACCGCTGTATATATCTGCGTCCATTGACCACCTTCATGCCCTTTTTTATCTTATTTATGGAAAAGCGCTTCGAGGAAGTTAAAATCACAGAAATAAAATAGTGCATATTTGCATTCCTCCATAAAAGGCGCATCGAAGCAAAAGGCACGCCGGAATACAAGGTGTGGTTTTCCACTCTACGTTCATTTTTACCCGCGCAACCTGCAAATCCAATCTCAAATCGGTTCTCTTAACAAAATAATCGGCAAATTTCTATAAACTTATTTCTAGAAACGTGTCGTTCTCCATAACGATCCGTTTCTAGGTCGTCTTACATTGCACTCGTAGTACTACGCAGTCTCTTACTGTTACAATTTGACTGCCTCGTTGGTCTAGTAGTTTAACCACCATTTCTGATTATGATCCGAGACGGGTTTGAATCCCAGGTTGGAGTAAAATTGGTAACTGGGATTTTCTGTCAAAAACTGCTCTGTAGTAGCCCGGAGCAAAGAAGCCCTTGGTCCTACGCCTCTCTGCCTGAGGTGTCTGCAATCTCTCTCCTGGTGTTGTCGTGTTGGATTACCGTTCTATCGGATTATGAGAGTGAGGAAATAAAGAGGGTACTTGTACTTGCGCATACACTAAACTAAGGCACATAATCCTATCCCGCGCAGATGGCTAGTCTCCGTAGAGACCGGCCGTTGTGACCGAAATTCAGTCTGGAGGACATTACGTTTATTGTAGCCGACCTTAAAAAACGAGGAGGTTCTTAAATCGACTGTCTGTTTTATGTTGTATGTAAAGCGATATCTTCCTGAGTTTGAACCGATTGGAATGATTTTTTCAACCGACTTCAAAGAAAGGAGGAGGTTATCAATTCGACTATTTTTTTATATGTAATGAACTTTTTTTCTAGGTGAACCGATTTTGATGATTCATTTATTGTTTGAAAGCTGTTGCTTCTCATGTGGACCCATACAAATTTGATTAAAATATGACCAGTATTTTTTACTTTTTACTTTAATAAAGCCTATTTAATTGACTTCGACTACATTCATCAATGACTAATTCATCAATATAAATAAAATGAGAACATCATCATGTTCTCATTTTATTTATATTGAAGTCGGTTTTACAATTATTTTTTTTTAATTTAATTCTTGTTTGCATAGGTACTTCTTGTGGTTATTCCAAAACTTTCACATGTATTGTGGACCCATAACGGTGGAAAAATAGGGATGAAGTTTTTTCTGTAACTATTTAGACTACATGTCATGATAATATTTAATTTTGTATGACAATATTTTAAATTTGATTGTACGTATTATCAAAGATATTTAATTTTGAGTTTATATTACTTCAAGGTATTTAGTATGACAACAATTAGCACTATAAACTCAACTTGACTATGGACAATTTTTTTTCTTATTTCTTTTTCTTCTTATTCTTCATTTTATTTCAAAGCACCATTATTTAATTAGTAATCCGTAGTCTAATGTTGTAGTGTATTTGCACACCTCATAAGGTGCAGTGTACATATTCCACTTTTCTGTAACAACTTTTATACCTGTATTGAACAAATGAATGAATTTGTTTTGATTTGATTTGATTTTCGTTATTCCACTCAAAAGGGTTAAAAATAAACGTATAATGAAAATAGTAAAAAACAACTTCAAATCACAAAAAAAAATATAAATTTTTGCACAATAGCTTCTGGATTCAATTCATCTATACACTGTGTCTTAGCACCGACTTCAAAAGCTACTGGAATGTTCTATGTCGATTTTTACTTTTTGGTTATTTTTAGTTGTCTTTTAAAGTTTATTTTTACACTTTGTTTTTATTTTTACCCGTTCAATCAGGAGGGTAATGTGTTTCAAGTGTATGTACGTATGTCTATTTCATTGGTACGCTCTGTAGGCTAAACAGCTTGAGGGTTATTTACATATTATGTGGTGTCGTTAGATACGTCTAAATTATGGAAGTGACATAGAGAATAAATATTTTATACGTGGTAGAGCCACACTGCAGCTATATTATGGTTTTAGCACGAATGGGTCGGCTCGACCGGGGAAGTACCACGCTCTCACTGAATACCAGCGTAAAATAGTAGCTTAATGCTGCTGTGTTTCGTATGGTGAGTGTAGAGAACCGGAGACCCTATTTACTGGAAACGAGGCATTCCATCTTAGTCCTCATGGGGTCACGGGTGACAACGCATTAGCATTTTGATTCCTAATCAAGGATAGATGTAGATGTTTATGGGCCACAGCAACCACTTACCATCAGTGGACTGTGTGCTCGTTTGTCACCCTATCCTATAAAAATATTTCAAAACCGCATTTCTACATTTTTAATTAAAAACTATTACGAGTCCTATGGTCATTTACTTAATTTAAATTATTTCAGAAATCCAGTAACTTGGAATGCTTCAAGATTTGATTGGAATCCTGACTACAAATGTATTGACGCGTACCCGTCCGAAGAATGTTTCTTCGAAATTACATGTGAACGGATTGAAACAGTCTGCGAAAAACAATTAGAAGAAAGTATTGAACTAACTACAGAAATTATAATTAGCTCTAGTCAGACTGATATGGAATTATTGGTAATGAAATACCTTTTGACGAAATAACACTTTCTTGAACTAACTTTTAACGACTAGATATTGGGTGCGTTTGGCAGAAAAAAGCGCTAGCAAGCGCTTGTAAGCAAAATGGCGATAGTAAGCAGTAAGCGCTGTCAAATCGTAAGTAGCTATTTTCCTCCAGGACACGATGTTAGTTTTAACCGGGGAATCTAACCTAATTTAAATATATGTTTGTAAAGTATTCATATTAAAAACTTACCAATCATGAATTTTTAATAGCATGTATATGTTTATTCATGTAATTATATTACTTAAAACTAATATTGCACAAAACAACTTATAAACTCTACTTCAAAAAAACAAATTAAATAAGCAAAATGGCGGATTGTGTTAGCGCTACTGAAGTAGCAATCGTGTCCTGGCCGAAAACTATTTTAGCGCTTGTAAGCGCTTGCTAGCGCTTTTTTCTGCCAAACGCACCCATTATGTTATATTTATAGGTTGTACTATAGGTTGTACAAAAACACTTCACTAATGACATTTTGCCGTGTAGTGGCGGCGAAGCAGTTGGTCGTCTGCATGGGTTATTCAACCCCGCAGGTGTCGGTCTCTAGAATCACTCTCACCTCCTTACCTCAGTTAGTCACTTCGTCTTCTCAAAGGTAACGTCCCCCTGAGTTCTAGTGTACTGCACGTAAACGTGCAGATTGTAATGTGAATGCTTTTGGCATCAGGAGGCGGCGAAAACGAATCCGTCATCCCATTTTCCCGTGGCTGTCTTTAGAGGCGATTATAGAATATACCTCTTATGGCTTTCGATAGATGGCGGTATAATCATCTAGTTTACGCCAAGCGTAAAATTCATGAATTCAAACCAAAGTGGATGCATCAAAAATTTTCATCGCTAAACTGACAATCAATATCAATAAAATAACATATGACCTTAAAAATCGATTCAATTTAAGAAATATCATAAGTTCCTTTCTCTCTTTTCACTACATGGCGGTAGAAACAGACAGGTATAGATATAATTGACACTTAATTAAAGTAAGCGATAGTGAACGATTATAAATAGACCTGTGAATGTTTAAAAGCAAAAATACTGATAACCATTTATGTTTCATTTATTATATTTCGAAGTAGTTGCTCGTCGGTGGTATTTGCAAGAGCTAAGTGCTCGCTGAAAATGTTTCAGTACCCGAACAGATTTTTCAGTACGAGAACAGATTCGATCCCTGCCGGCTCCAATGAAATTGTTGCCTGCAAATTTTGGACGGTGAAGGAAAACGTCGTCGTCGTGAATATCTGGAATTAGGGAAATATATTTATGTAAACATATACACATCAACACGCATTGGGCAGCACGGTGGAGACTTCCTTGTCCTAAAACCTCACAGATGAGAGAAGGCATTTATCTCGAAGTGAGACACATTTGGTCTGTAACCTTGCTTTAATTCTAATTAAATTATTGGTAAAGTAACGTATATTGTTGTGATTGCAGGCACCAGAAACTACAACTGTTAATACTGTTGAATGCACTGAATTCTATACAATATTCGAAGAAAGATCATGTGATGATTCAATGGAAATAAAACCAGCGTTAATGTAAGTACAAAACACCACCATTCTCGTTACAATTACAGTCTAACAAATGTCCACTGCTCAACACTAGCCTAGCCTAGATTGCCTTATGAGGCAATCTATGGGGGAGCGTGACAACTATGACAAGTCCCCCTATGGGGGGGACCTATCATAGTTGTCACGCTTCACGTGCGGGCTGGCAGTTTTTTTAGTTTTAGTCGTTTTAACAAATACACTGCTGTTCACATCTCCTATCTTGCCTGCCTTTGTCGCGTCTTGTGACCCATGGGACGATATGGGATAGTGAATATTTTTACACCATTACTTCACTGTTGACGAAAAACAACATATAAAATTGTTATTAACTAAGGTGCTGAGGTTAAATTAATATTCTGATTACTTTACAGTTGCGCAAATACAGAGTCACTAATCACTATTGTTCTTATTTCTTCATCTTTATTAGTACCTTCGTAACGTTCAGTGTTGGACCGGACCGTGCCAGACATACAATCTTCATAACCAGGCCCGGATCTATCTTAGGATCCTCCTGGATGTAGCGTAGGCCTCCCCACTTGTAGCCATAGTACCAAGATCACCACACTTCTCCGGCAAATTGGAGATTACAATACCAAATGCTGTGCACCTTTGACGCTGCGTCCTGTCAGTGCGAATGTTACGTCGTGCGTGAACAAGATAGTTGTATCGCCTTCTGTCGAAAGACTTTTTTTTTATTTTACGGAATAAGGGTAACAAACAAGTACATAGTCCCTATTATGGCAAGTAGATGCTGTGGTCCTCCGACATATACGTTTATCTTCGACTATGAATTAAAATGCAGATGCGTTATCATCCCTGGGGGCTAAGATGGAATACCTCGTTTCCAGTCAAAAGCGTTTCCGGTTCTCTACACTCACTATATGAACCACAACTGCTATTTTACGTTGGTAACATCCACGGCAGGAAATAAGATCGTAGACATTTTGTGTCGGTACACACAAGATAAATTTACTGTTACATTTATTTATTTAAGATGGCTGCTTGGCGCAGTCAGTTTTGAGTTCGGTGCTGAGGACTGCCGTTTCAAATCCCGCACGTAACAAATATTTAAATGGCCTACAAATATTTTTCCGGGTCCAATTTACGTTTATGAACTGCCTCTACAATACAGTAGAAAAACCAAATATGTGGGTTACGTTTTCATAGGAAATAAAAATATATTTATTGTTTTGTTTCAGTGATTTTAAAACATGGAACATTTCAAGATTTAATTCGAATTTTTATAACTATTGCCTTGGCACATACCCTTATAAAGAATGTTTCTTTGAACTTACATGTGAACGGGTTGAAACAATTTGTGAGAGACATGTTGAAGAAAGCACGGAATCTGGGCTAAAGAATAATGACTCTGATATGTCATATTACAACACGTTGATAGCTATCGGTGTTCTGTCATCGGTGATTTTACTGTCGTTATTTTTAAATTATGCAGCTTCTAAATATAAAGATTTTATACAAAGCGGGACCTATCGTAAGTACCTACAATTTCGTTATTTAAAACTAGTGACCTGCCCCGGTTTCGCCTGGCCGTCGTCGTCATTTAATGTAGCATTATTTAGATTAAAGGTGGTCAATAACTATGTATTTTATAAATTTTTAGTTTTTCAAAAATCTTAATTTTTCGGATAAAGTATACTCTAGATGACTCCTGGTATTGCTCTCTATGTTTGTAAAGCTTCATTAGTTGGTTATAATCATTTTAAAAATAATTATTTGTGTCTTAATAGTATAATAAAACACTCTGCGATTACTGCTCACACTTTTATTCTGCCCTGAGGCTTAGGTTTAAACTATAATTTACACTTATTTTGTCTTATCCTATGCTTAGTAATCGACACAACCGTCTTTCTCCGCTCCTCCTTGCTTAATGCCATCTTTGCTTCGTGCAACTGACCACATCCCCTCCCTTACTAAAGTGTTGCCATTCTAATAAAATGAATTTACCAATAAAAAGTCAATGCTTAAATAAAATATATTAAATGAACTTTATTGTTATTAAATTAACTAAGTGAAAACCTAACATTCGTCCATCCTGACTTCGTGCATGTCCTCATGCACGGTTGAAAAGAAACCTAACATTCGGTCAGTTGCACGGGGCTTAGATACACATATAATTTCACAGTAATAAATAAAATTACAAAAAAAAAACTAAAACTTACATTAGGTACATATTATTATTTCTTACAAATCAAAAGATATAAAAAGGAATTAGAAAAAGTCGAAAATAGCTAAATACTATGGGTACATCTTAAAATAAAAGTTTAACAACAGCTTTAGGTATGTACTTTATATATTTGCTTTTTGGACCCATCCATTCCCAGTAAGCAAGTAAAACATACTTCGAAGTTAACACAAATTTTGATAACCCATTACGTTTTCCAAATGAGTCCCATTAGTAAATCCATCCATTCTTACGAACAGGACACATTTAACAAACGAACACAGTGTAGAACACTTCACTGGCCCGGTTACGAACCCATCCATTCTCATAACCGGCACAAGTAAAACGATAAACTGTGAACCCATCCATTCTCACAGATATCCATGCTCAACACCTATGCCGTTCTAGATCTTAATCATATAAATCTTAGCTTTCTATTCATCTATCCATCCATATTAGGGTGTACTGATTTAACTATATACATCATTAGTTTCTCAAATGAGTCCCATTAGTAAATCCATCCATTTTTACGAACGGGACACATTTAACAAACGAACACAGTGCAGAACACTTCACTGGCCCGGTTACGAACCCATCCATTCTCATAACCGGCACAAGTAAAACGATAAACTGTGAACCCATCCATTCTCACAGATATCCATGCTCAACACCTATGTCGTTCTAGATCTTAATCATATAAATCTTAGTTTTCTATTATCTATCCATACATATTAGGTTGTACTGATTTAACGATATACATCATTACTATTGTAGCATTATATTTATTAACGTGAAACTTAGAAGGAACTAGGTAAAAACAGTTAATAGATAACATGGTTCAAAACTGTGCATTTATGGATTGCTTAGATGTAATTTTACAAACTGAGATAACAATTTAAAATAGGTAATTAACAGAATTTCTTGGTTTTATTAGTTATCACTATTACTATCCTCATCACCATCATCATTGGACGTATCTGATATATTAACATCTAAAGCAGCAACATTGACCCAAGGCGACATTCGGTCAGCGGCTACAGCAGTTGGTCGTTTGTTCTTAGTACCCGTTAGTCCCGGAATCGCTGCTACCTTATATCTGTCATTTCCCAATACTGATATAACCCGATATGGACCTATGTATGAAGGAAGAAGTTTCCTACTTTTACCGTCATTTGTAAAAGCTGTTTTCGTTATTTTAACTAACTCTCCTTCAGCATAAACCTTGGCGGGACGTCGTCCCCTATCAAATCTCAGTTTTTGTTTTTCCTGTTGAGTGTCAATAGTGTCTTTAACTGTTTTACGAATAGTGGCTAGATCGTTTATTTCTCGAGTTTCTTGACGAACTTCATTGAACTTAGGATTGACTTCGGAATTTATAGCTGTACCAAACATAATTTCGGCCGGTGTTCTACCAGTAGTTTTTTGTTATGTATTATTCAATCCCCACTGTACTCTTCCAATTGTGCTATCCCACTCTTTTTCGTCACAATTTAAATTCTGTGCTGTTAATGAGTCAAGGATAGTACGGTTGTATCTTTCAACCTGACCGTTTGATCGGGGACAAGCTACAGCGTTGAGGATGTGTCTTATACCTTTGTCTTGACAAAACCGTTTAAAAGTGTGTGATGTGAAGCATGTTCCTCTATCACTTATAATGCGATCGGGAATGCGGAAAGTATAAAAAATATCCTCAAGAGCCCTAATTGCATTTTGAGTCTTTGTGTTACGTACCGGCCTAGCAAACACGAATTTAGTGAATCCATCGACAATAACCAAAAGATGAGTATTGCCGCGCTTGGACCTAACAAAAGGTCCCAGGTGATCTATGTGCAGTGTATGAAAAGGGACTTCGATCTTTTCGATGGGGTATAAGTATCCTTCTTTTGTAGATTTGTTTTTCTTAGCATAGGCACATTCTACGCATGCTTTCACGTACTTTTTAACGAACCTTGACATTTTTGAAAACCAATATGATTTTTTTATACGTTCCAATGTCTTTTCAACGCCAAAATGCCCTATATCGTCATGATTCAGGCGTAAAAGTTGCCACCTTGCACCCTTTGGAACCACCCAACGAATATTGTTAACGTTCCCATCTAGATATCGGTATAATTTGTTGTCTTTTATCAAGTAGTTATCTTTAATATATTTAAGTCCCTCCACATCCATATCTGAAGAAAGAACATTTCGAATCCTGCATAACTCTGTGTCGCCCATTTGTAATGTGTGTAACCAATCTTCGGTGCTTATAGTCATGACCGATGGGTATTGTTCTAAAACTTTTGAACTTTCGTCATCTGATATTGGGTTGCGAGACAGGGCGTCCACATGAGTCATCCTTGCACCAGGGCGATATTCAACTGTGCACTGAAACTCTTGCATTAGAAGCCACCATCGTGCAACCCTAGGAAGAATATCTCGCTTTGAGAAAGTAGAGCGGAGAGCATTGCAATCTGATATTATTTTGAATCTTTGGCCTAATAGATATACTCGAAACTTCTTTAATGAGCAGACAACGGCCAGTGCTTCTAGTTCGTAAGCATGGAAATGTTTTTCTTCAGGAGAAGTCTTTCGGCTATAATAAGCCACTGGCCTAAAACTATGACTACTGCATGATCTTTGAAATAACACACCTCCAACACCGAACTTACTAGCGTCAGTGTGTAACTCAGTTTCTGCTGTTGGGTCATAAATAGCTAGGATAGGTCTATCCACTAATTTGTCTTTTAAACTTTTGAAAGCTTCCTCCTGCTCATGGTTCCAGGTCCATCGTGCATTTTTAGTCAATAACTTTGTTAATGGGTTAGCTAGGATAGCGAAGTTCCTGATGAATTTCCGGAAGTACCCCACAAGACCAAGAAACTGCCGCACAGTATGTTGATCTATAGGGCAGGGAAAATCGAGCACGCACTGAATCTTTTTACTGCCCGGCCGTACTCCAGAAGCACTTATTTCGTAACCCAAGTAATCTATTTTGTCCATTAGAAATTCACATTTTGCCAGATTAAGGGTCAAGTTTGCCCCTTCTAATAATTGTAAAACATTTTCTAATCGCATCAGACATTCTTCTACATCTCTACCATATATCAACACATCATCCATATACGCTGTTGCTCCTTCTGCTCGCGTTGAACCAAGGATTCGATTCATCATTCGTTGAAACACAGCCGGGGCATTGGCCAAGCCGAATGGCATACGGTTGAACTCATACTGACCATTTGGTGTAACAAATGAAGTTAGTGGCCGGGATTCTTTTGATATTGGGACCTGATAATATCCTGATGTTAAATCAAGTGTTACAAAGTAGGCTTGTCCGGACAATCTCGCGATTTCATCCTCAATATAAGGCATAGGATAACGCTCCTTTACTGTCACTGAGTTTAACATCCTGTAATCTATGCACATTCTCATTTTTCCATCTTTCTTACGGACTAAAATTATAGGACTTGAATACTCTGATATTGATTCACTTATTATTCCGGCATTTAGCATTTCACTAATCATCTCTCTCACATCTCCTTGCTCTTTGTGGATAATGTAGTGTATGTCAATGGTCTTGGTAATATTAGTGCACCCTAGTTCTTTTAAAGAAGAGGCAAAGCAATGTTGGTATTGTCCAGCAAAGCTAAAGTTTTGTCGATGGATTTGTCCAATATTATCTCCTATTCTTACTTTCTCCTTATAAATATTAGTTTGTCGTGTTATTTTTTTTTTGGCAAAGAGGCAATAAGATTAATGATCTTGACTTCTAAACCACGACTGATGGTCATTCTTTCTTTGATGTAACTGTGAACTAATAAAGGGGAGATGATGACGTTTAAAACCCTATTCTTGACAGAATATACCCCTCCCGTTATGATGAATTGTTCCGTAGGCCTGCCAACAATCTTACTGTTTATCAGAATATTGCTATCGACACTTAAATCTGCAAATGCCTTAATGCTTGCTGCTCCATAAATGTGGACATTGGCAGAAGCTACTACCTTAACGGTGGTTTTGTTTTGTATATCGATTTCCGAAAAGGGCATTACTCGATTAACATCAAAGAAGCTAAGCTTATCTGTAGTTTTATAAACAGCGACATGCGACTGCTCAGTGAATGACTGTCCTAATAGCAATGGTAATTCCAAATATTGATCGTCAACAACGTGACACGCGACGTTAGCGTGGACGCCATCTACAGACAAGTTAACAGTGATACTACCAAGAGTGCGCACAACATCGTTTCCAAAACCTCTCAGTAATGTGGATTCACTATCAGGAACCAGTCCCAAACAGGATGCATTCGATTTCTTTATTAACGATACCTCGCTTCCAAAATCCACAAATCCCTTTTCCGGATAATTATTTACAAAAACGTCTTTATAAAACTTAGAGCTTGGGTTTGAGTTTGATATACGCAAGGTTTTGTGAACAGCGTTGCTTTTATCGTCGTTAACAATTGCGAAACAATTTTCTGTTTTATGACCCATTTTATTGCATTTACCGCACTTTATAATAGGCTTGGGGCATTTCAAGAATGGATGCCCCTTTTCCTTGCAGTTATAACAATATATATTATTATGTTGGGCAAAGTTGCTCTTATTTGCTATTTTATTATTATTATTAACACTAATAACATTTGTATTAATACCGGACCTAAATTTGTTGTAAGATCGTTCAAAAGGTTGATTGAGTTCCTTATTACTCATTAAAAATCGGAGCAGCTGTTCCGGATGTGAACAACGTAGTGTGGTAGCGCTTGATTTCATCGTTTTGTCGGTTAAGCCGTGTATGATGCAATCAACAGCACGCTTTCCTTCAATGTCGCATTGGTTCAAAAGTGCCAGTTTCTCATAATAATATACTTCAATAGGTTCGTTAAACTTGCTCTTTCGTTTCAACATATCTTCCAGAGCTTGACCATAGTTATATTCATGTGGAAAAGCATTTATTAACCTCTCCTGCCACTCATTCCAATTAAAAAGAATTGAGGGTAAACTCTCGTACCAGGTCTTGGCCAAACCCTGGAGCTTTTGCATGGCGTAATGGATTGTTGTTTTGTCGTCAGCCTTCGCGCACTCGTTTACTTTATTTAACCACATATCTATTCGTTGATTTTTCGACGATGGATCAAAATCAGGTAAAATATTTTTATAGCTACTTGAATGAATAGGTGCAACCGTGGCCGACGTCGACGGCTGTGACTGTAAGTCTTTAAGTTATTTAAGAATATTAGCTACGTCTTTAGTCGAGAACGAAGGACTAGAAGATCGTTGACCATTTTCTTGAATTCGCCTTCTCTTGGGGCGGTCATCCACCCCACGGTCGAGTGTTCTACTTTTAGAAGGAACACTACGCCCAGTGGTTGCATCACGCCCAGAAATATAGGAATCTTGACGCGTGAAATCGTGATGTTTACTTACGCTGCGTAGCCTTTTACTACGCTCCATAATCAGGTTGTTCTGGAGATTTTGTAGCCGCTCCCGTTCGCGAGCTAGCTCCCGTTCTACTGCTCGGCGTCGCTCGCGTTCGTGAAGACTCCCAATGCTGTCGCATCGCGTGCGACTACGGCTGCTTCTGGCCCTATCATCAGCCCTGCGTCGTCTGGACTCCCCACGACCCGGAGTCTCCAGGCGTCGAGGTTGCGATTTGTCTTCCCTCTGCATTTTTCTGTAACTTGGAAACAAAATCAAAAATGAATACATTCAATAACTTGTAACGTTTATTAAGTGGGTATCTCGAAAACGGCTTATGCTATCTTAAAAATAACGAAATTTTTGGCGTCCCCTTGTACCCCAGCACTACAGTGATATCTAGTAATGGATAATCTTACTTGGTGCTTGAGATATCATATTAGGTAGCGCCATTCTCACATTTAACCTATGATTAATATTTTATTGTTAAGTTACGATAAGAAAGAGTACAAACATGTTCCCTTTATTTTATTTACGTGCAATATTGTAACCTTTGCATATATGAGTAGAAGTTAGAATACGAAAATATAAGAAGTACTCCATTACCCTATAGTAAGTAAGTAATTACTTAAACAAGAGAGCAAATAACTAGTACCTTGATAACTTAATACCCACTATAAATTTATAAAATTTTGTGACCACCCGGAGTCCAAAACCTCTTTTACTTATAATACGAACCCTCTTTCACTTAAATGAATAATTTGGGCGTCGCACCTCAGTAACTCAAAGTTGTAACGAAGACGACCTTTGCAACTTCAATAATCTATCAATAAGTCATTTTAAATGACTGTGCGAATGACCAGTGTTTAAATCATTGTTATTGCATATACGCGTTTACCGAATGGCTTAAAATGTAAATAATACAAGTCTTTAGTGTATTGCTTACATTTACATTTGATAATTCCTAAACAGAGCTTATAAGCGAACCTCTGTAGGTACAAACGTGAAGCATTAAAAACTCCTTAACTTCAACCCAGAGTAAGTAAAAACCTCGAATAACTCAAATTATTTAACGTTTTCCTTGGTCTTTATCTTATCCAGGATTTACCGTATATAATTTACAACTATTATATATATATATATATATATATATATATATATATATATATATATATATATATATATATATATATATATATTTTCCAAGAGATTTTAGCAATTTTAAAGCCTAAGGAAATTTCTTTTTTTTAACTTAGAAACAGTTTAGTATAAGTAACAAAGGTAGGTATAACAAAAGAAACGGGTACATCCCACTTCTGAAATATAATAAAACACTTGCGATTACTGCTCACACTTTTATTCTGCCCTGAGGCTTAGGTTTAAACTATAATTTACACTTATTTTGTCTTATCCTATGCTTAGTAATCGACACAACCGTCTTTCTCCGCTCCTCCTTGCTTAATGCCATCTTTGCTTCGTGCAACTGACCACATCCCCTCCCTTACTAAAGTGTTGCCATTCTAATAAAATGAATTTACCAATAAAAAGTCAATGCTTAAATAAACTATATTAAATGAACTTTATTGTTATTAAATTAACTAAGTGAAAACCTAACAATAGCATTCAAATAAACCCCCTCCCCCAGCTTGATAAAAGTCAGTTATTTTAATATCACATACAGATTCTTCAATTTCATTAATAGTTATAATATTGGTAATAATTAGTGTCTTATAAGTAATTGCGTCTGTTATGTTTTGCTTTTTTCTAATAAAAGCTCATTCTTAGGTAGGGTTTTAGCTGCTTCATACGTTTTACATAATCACTGCTGCAGCAGCCTACAGATGAATATAAGCTTTCATCTGCTTCCTTAGATTTATATCTCCTCACTAGTGTGCCTTACTAGATGGATTAATAGCCGCAATGCCTTAAATAACTGCATACTTAGGTCGCTAACACCAAGTCTTAATCCCTTAAATGTGCATGTAATTTCTTATATTTATTTATCGTAACAGCCCCTTAAAGTCATCAATATCAGTCAATATCCCCATTTGCCATAGTTGCCACGCTTGCAAAGCGGGTTGGCGACATCAGTTTTTCGTCGCCTTTTACGACACCCACGGGATGATATGCTATCTATGGGGGAAGCCTAGCCAGCGGTGGACTATAATAAGTAATATCAGTAAAAAAAAGTAAAAAAATAACGTAAAAATACACTTAGTGCTATTAATCTTTACATATAAAAATCTATTGCTGTGCGTTAGTGTTGTTAAACCTCGGAAACGGCTCGAAAGATTATGATGACATTTTTTGTGTGCATTTTAGCGGATCCCTGGATGGTTTATATTCATATTTGCATCCGATAGGTGGTGCTGTTGTCAAAATCCATATATCACCCGTGCGAAGCCAGGGCTAACCGGTAGTGTTACGTAAAACTAGATTACGTTTTATAAAGGAAAAAAGTCAATATAATATGTAAGCTAGAATAACTTTTATATTGTAATTACTTAATCTATAGGAGTAAAATAATACGATTCTTAATGCAGACTATCTCTGATTTCATTTTTTCTTACCAATTAACAATTATCTGAAATCAATCTCAACTGATAAAAAATTTCCTTTTTTAGAGAAAGAGTTTCTTTTCGTCTAGAGGTAAATCTGGATTGAATCTCTTACCTAGTTGTGGTATTTAGTAGCAGTCTCTTATACCAGTATAATAACAGACTGTGAGGCATTTCATCGTAGTCCTCAGGGTGTGACAATACATCTACAGTCTCCCTTGTTTGAAGTGGGTTATATAGGGAATGAACTACAGGAGCCCCAGTTTGAATGTTACTTCGTTTGTCACTTTAATATTGAAAATAAAAACTATGTAGGTATTTAAGCCTTCCAATTTTTTTAGGTCTGCCCCATTCGCCAACTGAAATAGCAGATTCGGAGCTATGAATTAATACGTTGCGGAAGAACCAAAGGCAGCCATATAAACAAGATTAGTGTTTTTCTGATAGCTCTGAAGATATAGAAGACGCAGAAGTATTTCTTTGACTTATTTAGCTTAAAAAAGGAAGAACTAATTAAAATAAAATAAAAAACCTATAAGAATACTAAATACGTTCGTTATTTTGTCAGAATAATAAAAGGAATCTCTACGTAAATATACTCGAAAAATTTGTGTTCCCCTTTGAGCCAAACCTAGCTCTCTGACTGTCGCGTTCTTTAACGCAAACGGCATCAGAGATCGAAATGAATCGTGTAATTTCTACGCGATCATGATTTCGACATCATGCTAATGCAATAGACCTTTCTAGAAAACTAGTGTGCACGATTCCAAAATAGCTAATTACACCTTAGTAAGAAATGATAAGCTGACCGGATCTAAAGGTGGCACCTTGAGCTACTACATAAGGTCCTTGTAATGTGTATGGATAGATACTTTACCGCTTAATAACTTAGAAGCATCGGTTTGTAGGATAGCACTAACGGGCGATCCGCCCATAATAATTGCAACGGCATATCAGCCACCGCTAAGATATAATATAATGGAAGCTGACATCTCGGCTCTATTAGATCTAGGCCCCAGTGTATTAACTGCGGGATACCTAAACAGTAAATACGTTAATTGAAATTCTAACGTTAACAGTGGAAACGTAAACGTTTTATGTGACCTCACAGAGAGACTTAACTTCGACGTTATTGCTCCCGAGAGTCTAGCCCGCTATCCCAACATCCGGACGTCCTTGGCTCAAAGATGTTAAGTTTATTATTAACTCAATCGATACTTTTATTGAACTAACCTCGAACCATAGGCCGGTCGTATTACAACTGGGCCGTCGGCAGGTGAGGTCCGTCAGACCAAAAACATCATCGACTGGCGTTAACTCGAAGTCGAACTCAAGTCTACGAACTCCCAGCATTAACACTATACCGGACAAGATAGACTCGCCGGAGGAAGCCAATAGGGCAATTAGCACCTTTCGACTCACCTCACTTCAGCGGTCGAAGAATGTGTCGAGCGATCAATACACGAAGCTTCCGGCAGATGTTCGACAACTGATTAGAGCGAAGAATACCTTATGACCGTTATTGCATGGAAGATAATAAATTTGGTTACGTTCTCTACAAAAGGAGGTTAAACAACGCATAGGCGAATTAAAAAATGATATATAGAAAAACCTCTTTGAAGGAATAGATCCATCTTAAGACGCCTTTTGGAAAATAACTAGAACTCTAAAAATAAAGCAATTGCCTCACATGCCACCTCTCGTGACCATAGTATATATATATATATATATATATATATATATATATATATATATATATATATATATATATATATATATATATATATATATAAATGAATATTGTATGGATATAAGTTTTTTGATGAAATAAATATATTTTGTCTTTGATTTTGATCCCTAGTATGAGTTATTCTATGGGGAAGGCCTATGTTCAGCAGTGGACTTAATGCAGGCTGTAATGGACATAATAGTTTAAAGACGTATAAACACTAGTGATGGTTATTAGATGATGATTAGATCTGATGCTGCAAAGAGGGTTATTAGTTTTTACCAACGCAATTTATAACGGTCTACTTTCAGATATTTCGTGTTCAAGTACAAATCTTATCCACGTTTCTAGTAATATTTTTAATTAATATATATTATTTAATAAAAATAAACGCTTTTTTTTTTTACTTCTTTAGGGGGCGGGGGGGGGGGGTTTATTTTGTCGGTATTGATCAAAAAAAACGCGGCAACAAACACACAAACCTTCTGTTGATAAATGGATTACATGATCCATAGATAACAATATCACCCTTGGTGGTCATCCCTAAATCCTATGTTAATGCCGCGTTACCAGTAAAGTCTTTTATCGTCACTCATTATACAAAACACTGCATCATTAAGATGCTATTTCACGCTGATATTCTGTGTTTAGTAGTGTGAATGGAAAAACTAGAGACCCATTTTACTGGAAACGAGGCTTCCCATCTTAGTCTACAGGGTGACAATGTACGAGGATAGATGTAGATGTTTATGGACCGCAGCATCTACTGACCCTATATATCCATATATTCTATTTTAAAAAACTACTATCCTACCACCTGATATATAACTAAAAGCCGACATAAATTATTACCGCTTCCAACCGTATTTTTATAAACAATCTTATCTTGTACAACAGCACTACAAAATAACCTTAGTTGCCAAAATGTTATATTTCAAGACCAGAGTGTACACGATCCAAAACGACCTTTGGACCGCGGCCAAATCACCTTCGTGATACAGCTTTTTGTCGGACAAGGTTGTAGCGCTTTTCCGATTCTCATTACGATGTGAAAACTTAAAGGTATGGCTTGTTACCACGACAACGTCATGTTTTGTTTACGTAAGAGACGACAGAGGAAAACAGACGAGGAGGTGAGTAGCATCGTCTTCCTAATCAAAAACAAAAATTTTAATTGTGGCTGCCACCAACCTACCAAGCGTGTGCGCCATGGCAAATCCCCTCTACGAGACAATCAATGGGTAGGCCTATTTTCAGCAGTGCTTCTTATAGGCTATAACGGTAACTGTTTCATATATGTGCCAATTAAGTGCTTATCGTGCCCTAATTTTTTATTTCAGGCGTCTTTACACCACGTAGGTTAAGCAATATAGTCTCTTTTTAAATTATAACTCTTTCGATTCGTTTACTTTTACACTAAGTGAATTTTAAATAACCCCGAAATAATGGTTATTATAATATTAAGGACTACATGAATGAAAAAAACACCTGGACTGAAATAATTGCTAATATGCTGTTCTATTATAATTCATATACATAATTGAACAAAATTATGCCTGCTCATAGGTATTTTACGAAGAAGTTGTAAATAAAAAAAATTAAAAAAAATTGAAAGAAAATTATTCTATTCTATTATATTCCATGTTTAGCTTCTTGACCACTCGCACACAATTTTGTTTCGTTCTTTCTTTACAAGGCTTTAAAATTCCTATGTGGAACGCACTGCGCACATATGCAACTACACCTGTGCTGTTGGTTGAATTATTATTTAAGATGTACATGTTTGCGTTAAATGCATGTTTCTGCAATAAGTTGGCTTGATTTGAATGTCACTTGAAATGTTCTGATTATTCTATCATTCTTTTTATTGGATTTCAACGGCGACAGGCAAAGAAGTTTCAGCAACGGCGGCATCTGATATTAAATTGTTTTCGAATTTTTTCATTTACTTCAGAATTGTAACAAATGAGGAAACGTGCTCCCATTGATCCCGCTAAAATGAAAAAATGCTCAATCACTGTGGAAATAGTTTTAATATATGTTTATGGAAGCAAAAACTAACTTTTGTACAGCATATTTTACAAGATTACACGCCCCCTTCAAATTACGTCGTCGCAAAAAGTTGTGGCCCTAAATGAGCTGTTTCAATGAAATTAGCAAATCTGATTTATATTTTGAAAAATTATTAATCACAAAAAAATTGCCAGCGTTGCAGCCAATATTTTCTTGCCCATAGCCTTCTTATTAATAATGTCTACTAGAGAAATAGGTAGACACATGTGTGTCAGCTATTTTTTACTTTTAATTTAACTTGTATTTTTCATTATTACATAAAAAATATGTTGATTAAGGTTTTCCCTCTTTTTAAGAAGATACTGTCAGTCTTTGAAAGAGGAGTCGGTCATGTAATATAGCTGAAAAAATGGACATTAACGTGTCACTCAGCTCGTTACAAACCGGTTATAATACATCTCAATTTTCTCCGGACCCATCGACGTCTTCCAAGCGCATGCTCAATAAGACACGACCAATGTACAAAGAAATCTTTTATCCCTGTATCATGAGCCTTTCACGCCTCATAAATAGTAGTTAGGAATGAGAGGATAGGTCAGGATATTCTGGTTCTCGAACTTCAGACAGGTTGGATCGGTGTATATCGGCGCTTTTCGGATATCTTCGCTGAATGTAGAGCCTTTGCCATTTTGAGGTGACGGGACCGGATTTGGAGAATGAAAATTCTAGTATTACACTCTGCTACAAACGCGTCAATAAATATTACGTATTTATTTCCAACTATTACATAGGACAAGTAAAATAATAATAATAATTACATAACTAGAACATAATTATTTTTTTGCACGCAAGCACTAAATATATGAATACTATTTCTGAAATTTAAATTTCTTAAAGTTAAGGCTTACTTATTTATTCCTTCTGAGGTTAAAGTCAAAATCATGTACATTACACGTTTAGTAATGCTACCTATTGAAAATATTTTATCGCGTATAATTTTACCTTATTTTGTTAACAGAAATCGGATCGGTGGATTTAAATTTTCAACGTCAGTCCGATTGGTAACTTTAGTCGGAATCATTTAACGATAGAAATCACATTACGACGCATTATTTTTTTCATCATCATTATCAGCCTTTCAGACCCTCACAAGTCCACAGCTGAACATAGGCCACCCTGAAGGGACACCAAAAAGCACGGTCCTGAGCCACTTACTTCCATGGACTTCTTGTTTGTTTTACCCGGTCATCACTCCATCTAATTGGGGGCGGGACTACACTTCGTAAAACGCTAGTATATTATATACTGAACAACCTTTTTTACTGTCTGGAAAAAATAGGGTGTAACATGTGAACGGAACAGAAGCTTATGGCACTGATATTTTACAAAAAGTAAAAACAAAAATTTTGAATGAAATAAATAAATAAATTAAAATCTATCGAAATTTAAATCATATCCACCCTACTATACAAACGGCAATAAAACAATAAATTTAGTAGGCATCTTTGACTTTGTCACTTCGCAGGGTCATAGGCTAGGGTGGATATGATTTGAAATTGGATAGATTTTAATTTATTTATTTCAAAATGTTTGTGTTAAATTATATATTATCAGTATCAGCCATAGGCTCCTTCTCCATTTAC